CAAACCTAGCTTCTGGCAAGGATATGATCAGAGCGGTCCGGAGTGCCGTGCGATTTGTTGAGGTAGGGATCAAGACAAGCATTGATCTAGGTAAAGGGAGTGGGCCGATCAATCATTTCCACTCCACCTACACTATGCCCTTTGCGCCGTATGTGACCTATTACCTGGATCTTTTGATTTCCTTCGTCCTAACTGTATGCTATTTAGCGGCCGATTCCTTGAGTACATCTTGGACCGCCAAGATGTGCAGCGAGTATGGCAGCAGTTCACCCACCATGAGTTTGTCGAAGGCATGGGCCAGGGTACGCTGCCTATTGAACGCTTTAAGGCGTACCTTGTGCAAGATTATCTCTACCTGGTGAGACAGCCATCTTCATGCGGTTGGGAGAAGACATTTAACTTATCAAAACTCAACCTGCAGGTACAATTTGCCCGAAGCAATGCACTTGCATCATACAAGGCCAAGAGCATGGATTCAATAGCAGCGGTAGGTGTTCGCCATACTTGTTTTCAATAACAATCTAACAAAATCACTCCAGTCGGCCCAGATTGTCCTCCACATCCAACGGGAAATGGCATTGCACGTCAACTACTGTGCCTCTTTTGGCCTTTCCAAGCAGGGGATGGAAGATACACCCGAAACTATCGGTAAGCAGGTCGTGCTTCTTTATAAACTCGACATATGTGCTGATCTCGATATGTATAGCTTGCACCGCATACAGTCGATACATTTTGGATGTAGGCCAATCGGAGGACTGGCTAGCCCTCCAAATGGCCCTCGCACCATGCTTGATCGGATATGGCGCCATTGCAAAACGGCTGCACACGGGAGAGAACACGCTTCGAGAGGGGAACACTTACTGGGAATGGATCGAGAATTATGTTGCCGACGACTACATGGAGGCTGTACGACTAGGTTCAGGTAAGCAGATTATGAAAAAACGAGTGGAACATCTAACTGATTCATGTCATAGCATTGCTGGAGGATCACATGCAAGATGTGTCACCTAGTCGCATGGAAGAACTGATTAAGATCTTTGTTCGGGCTACGGAATTGGAGGTTCGTTTCTGGGATATGGGCCTCGGAGACAAGGAGCAATAGGCTATCAGATCCTAGTCTGCTACCTATACTTGTCATGAAAATGGATTGTCCCTCTCTCGATCTTAGAATTCCAACCTTGGAAGGTTGCTGTGATTACCTTGTTCTATATTAAATGCTGTAGCTTGCTTGTTGGAACAATTTTACCTTAGTATAAATTACATTAAGAAACAACCACATTTCAACGTCATCAAGCTGTGTTTTTCCTTCCAGAATGATCCATAATAATTCACCCTGCATAGAAAAAAACATTAAACATTGAATGCACTGAATGCCGCCCAAAATACATATTTGCCTCTCCCCAAATAGATGATTTTCGAAAATCTATCACTTTGCCGTCATTCAACATTGGTCGCCACTCGTGCTCAGCTCACAAAGAGCCTGCCTCGCCATCTTTTCATTATTTGCCCCCTTTATATCCATGGACCGTCGATGCCTGGCGCAAATTTAAAAAGTTCCTAATTTTTTCTGCCTGAAGTTGATAACAGCGACCAATCAAAATTGAAGTAGACAAAAATGGTGCAAGCGGCGAGTACCCGCTAATCCTGTTTAGGCAGGCGGTTTGAAAGGTACCTGATTCAGGCCTGGTCATGTGATGATACCGAGAAAAATACAAAGGGAGCTAGGCCTAATCTAATTTTTACTCGCGCCTTCCTCCCCTGGCAAGTTTTTTTTTATTTTTTTCTCCTTCCTTTTCTTTCAAGTTCCCGTTTCCTACCTTTTCTTGTGAACTCGTCCTTCTTTCTTTCTTCTCTCTTCCTACTTCATATTCCTCATTCTCATATTCTAATACCCCTCTCTCCCTCACATCACCCTTTCGCAGACTTGATTATGTCGTACGGAGGTGGCTACTCTCGCGGTGGCGGCGGTGGCGGTGATTCATACCGGTAAGTTCATCCTCACAGAGACTTTTTCTTTATCTTCTTTGTCTATCTCATCAAATGCACGGTTTTCTGGGAAAATCCTCGAGCCTGCAGTTGTTTGCGATGGCGTTGGGCCTCGGGATTCTGAGTCTACCTTGGTTTCCCAACCAATACCAAAAGAGACACCGCACATCGCAGGAAGAAGAATTTATGCTAACTTTGATATTCTAGCTCCCGCGGAGGTGACAGCGGCTACTCTAACGGTGGCTCCGGAGGTGGTGGCTACGGCGGCGGCGGCGGTGGTGGTTACGGCGGTGGCCGTGGAGGTGGTTACGGCGGCGGCGGCGGTGGTGGCTACGGCGGTGGAGGTGGTGGTGGTTACGGCGGCGGTGCTGCTGGTGGTGACCGCATGAACAACCTCGGCGCTGGCCTGAAGACTCAGGACTGGGGTAAGTTCATTCCAACATGCAAACGTGTTTGTTCGCGCAATACTAACTTTGGTTCCACTTAGATCCCGCCACCATGCCCAAGTTCGAGAAGTCGTTCTACAAGGAGCACCCTAGTGTTACTGAGCGCTCAGAGGAAGATGTTCTGGCCTTCCGCAAGGAGAAGGAGATGGCCATTCAGGGTACCAACGTGCCCCGTCCCGTCGAAACCTTTGACGAGGCTGGTTTCCCCGCATACGTTCTGTCTGAGGTCAAGGCCCAGGGCTTTGATGCTCCTACTGCTATTCAGTCTCAGGGTTGGCCCATGGCTCTGTCCGGACGCGACGTCGTCGGTATTGCCGAGACTGGTTCCGGCAAGACTCTGAGTTACTGTCTCCCCGCTATTGTTCACATCAACGCCCAGCCTCTCCTCGCCCCCGGCGATGGTCCCATTGTTCTTGTTCTGGCTCCTACTCGTGAGTTGGCCGTCCAGATTCAGGCTGAGATTACCAAATTCGGAAAGTCCTCCCGTATTCGCAACACCTGTGTTTACGGTGGTGTCCCCAAGGGTCCTCAGATTCGTGACCTTTCTCGCGGTGTTGAGGTTTGCATTGCCACTCCTGGTCGCCTGATTGATATGCTCGAGGCTGGTCGCACCAACCTTCGTCGTGTCACTTACCTCGTTCTTGACGAGGCTGATCGTATGCTTGACATGGGTTTCGAGCCCCAGATTCGCAAGATTATCGGCCAGATTCGCCCTGATCGTCAAACTTGCATGTGGTCCGCTACCTGGCCCAAGGATGTCCGTCAGCTCGCTTCTGATTTCCTCAACGACTACATTCAGGTCAACGTCGGCTCCACCGACCTCTCCGCCAACCACCGCATCACACAGATTGTCGAGGTCGTCTCGGACTTTGAGAAGCGGGACAAGATGATTAAGCATCTCGAGAAGATCATGGAGGACCGCTCCAACAAGTGCATCATTTTCACTGGCACCAAGCGTGTCGCAGATGAGATTACCCGATTCCTCCGTCAGGACGGCTGGCCTGCGCTTTGTAAGTTTTCGATGGGTTCCCCACTGGCACATGTGCACGGTACTAACATATTTTCCAGCCATCCACGGTGACAAGCAGCAGAACGAGCGTGACTGGGTCTTGAACGAGTTCAAGCAGGGCAAGAGCCCCATCATGGTGGCCACTGATGTGGCCTCGCGTGGTATTGGTATGAACAAACTACATCCCCCTCCCACTTCCCTTCCCCCCTTTTTGTCCCCCCTTAAGGGGCCCTTGAAAACACTCACCCGTGTTGACGTTGTGTCATACAATGGCACGGTGCTCAACTCTCTCGAAGCACGTCGGTGTATATACGCCGCGTCCAGGCGCATCTGGTCATCCTTTATGGTTCTCATGCCAAGAGGACCTTGGACTCACAGTGCAGCACAGCAGCAGGCATTCTAGCTTGACTTTGATTCTCTATTCTCCATCTCTTGTGTGACAGACTCGTAGAAGAGTCGAAATTCTTTTCACACAGCGTTGTTCTTGAACTGTTGAACTGTTGAAGGCTGCATTTCCAAGGTTTCTCTAGGACCACGATAACACCGCCATCCCATGGATTCGCTTCCCTTGGGATTTTCTTTCAAAGAAACCCATCAAGAGAGCAGTGATGCATCAAGTCCTGCACGACGGAGAAAGGGTCCTTCATGGCCATACTCCTCATACCCCCTCACTAATGTTCTATTTGCTAACGAAATTCCTCTGAAAGATGTGCGCGACATCACTCATGTGCTCAACTATGATTACCCCAACAACTCGGAGGACTATGTTCACCGTATTGGTCGTACTGCTCGTGCTGGTGCCAAGGGTACCGCCATTACCTTCTTCACCACTGACAGTAAGTTTACCATGCATGTCTTGGACATTAAGAAGTTGTACTAACCTCCCTTTCTCCAGACTCTAAGCAGGCTCGTGACTTGATCACTATCCTCACTGAAGCTAAGCAGCAGGTTGACCCCCGTCTTGCCGAGATGGTTCGCTACGGCGGCGGCGGCGGTGGTGGTCGCTGGGGTGGCCGTGGACGTGGTGGTGGCCGTGGTGGCTGGGGTGGTGGTCGTGGCGGCGGCGGCGGTGGTGGTGGTGGCTTCACTGCCTCCAACTCTGCTCCCGTCGGCGGCAACCGTCGTTGGTAGATGCCTCGCTGCTGCTCCCCGTGCAGTCAGCCACTTTGCCTTGTATTGTGCTATCCCGGTAGACTCTTTTCCATTTCTTTGCCTTCATGCGTAACTCGGGCAGGACGGCGTTATCTTCGATGTCATAGATAGTTTTTACTTATTTTTTCCGTCCCTATGTTTCAGGGGATTTTTCACGGTCTCGGATCTCGATTCCTCAGTTCTAGTGGGATTCTAGAGCTTGGATTCTCACGATGAATCCATACATGTTGATTAGTTTCAAAAAGTTTCATGACTCAGAGAGTTCGCTGAAGTCAATCTGCAATAATGATTATTCTCTAAACGTTTCACCAAGTGTTTTCTCAATCTTCTTCAACCAACGCCAGTGTATTGATATAGATAAGCCTGAATGTGCCTGCATGAGCCATTGCCTATCCCCAACCCTCACACTATCTCTGCAACCACCTTTGCACCTCCCCTGCCAAAACCTCATGCACATGGCTAGTCATATGACCCGAATTAAACCAGAAATAGCGCTCCAACGACGTCGGACACCCATACTTCTCATACTCAACCGCAATATCCGGCTGATCATACCCAGCACAGAAGTTCGTCGTATTCACGATGCCATACTTGTGAGGCTCATCAAGCATAGCCGCCAGTCTCGCATGCGCATCAAAAAGCATAACCCGCGCCTCCTTATGCTTTTCCGCAAATGCAGCCGCATGATCTGCCAGCGCGGAATTGTACCACCCGACCTGTGTGGCGTTCGGACTTGGGTTACTCTTTGCTTGGTTCCCTGGCGTGCGGTCTAGCGGCGGCAGGTTCATAAACAGATAGCTTCTGTAGCCCAGGCTGTAGAGTGTCTCTACAGACGTGAAGAGTGTGTCTGTGAGGTCTTTGTAGAAGGTTGGGAAGTCGACGGCGTATTTGGCGCTATCGCTTATGTCGTTGATGCCGATCCACAGGGCTATTAGGGTTTTGTCTTTGTTGAAGCCTGGTAGCTTTTGTTGGAGAGCTGGGTGGCCATATTGCTTGAATTGGTTTATTTGGTCCACTAGGGAGACTGTGAAGTTGTGGTGAAGGGGTGTGCTTGGTTTCGGTTAGTTAAAGTTGTTCGTGGATGCTGAATGCGTGTGGATTGTATATGGTGGATTGTTCTTGTGCTTACTATTCGGTTGATATGTCGGCGCCTGCAAATGCAAAGTCCCAGAGTTGCTTTTTGCAGTTTTGGGGTGAGGTGAGGCCTTCGTGGACGCCGCAATTTGTGAGATATTCGACCCAGTTGGGGCCGCCTTCTGCAGTTGCGGTCTAAGCGTGGTAAATTAATAACTAAGCCATGATCTGTTTGGTCCAATCGTGTCAAGATACAAGCTTACTTGATTTTGGACTATCTTGTTAGAAAGCAGAGTTTCGGCATCATAGGCGAGGCTGAATTGGTCTCCAATGAAACTGAAATTTTGGTGTCCGAGGGTTCCCTGGACGTAGGTGTAGGAGTCACCGAAGGCGATTCTTTGGTTTAGGGTCAGTGCTGCTTGTAAGCTTGAAGCCTCGATATACTTACAGAGCCTTGGTTGATGACCAGTCGAATTTGGCCGGTCTTGATAGAGGACCTGCCCTAGCGAAAGTAGTGCCTGAGGCGATGGCTAGGACGCATGTCGTTAGGAAAAACATTGTGGCAATTGGATTAGTAGACACAGCATACAAGATGATATAGTTACCTAGAGACTACGACATGCTTTTATAGTAGAGTATATAGATCACTGAGTAGACGATCTAGTTTGTCTAACCCCGCTAATGGTCAATGTCCGGGGTAATTCTGCAGAGTTGACGGAATATATTTTTCCATCAGTTATTTTACTCGGCACTTTTGGGATTAATAATACTTCACTGTCAATTGTGGGGGAAAGGAAGGGAAATGAAATCCTGAACTTGTGTTGCTCACAGAAAGACATCAAATATGTTCCTACAACACATACAGCAATAAACCCCATATAGAGAGATATCAGCCTACCCAAGCCGTTGTATGGCTCTCACATATCAGACTCTAAATGACTTATTCTCCAATAGCTGAAAATCTGCACCCTGACCAATGCACCGAGTTGCCTTGAACTATCCTCTCGCGAGGCACGACCGAGAGTGGCCTTCCGAGTCAACATGATACTCACAGACGCCAGTCACAGAGGACTTCGTGCTCTATGTTGCTCGCCAAAAAAGAACGCTTGTCGGCAGCGAAAGGACTCCAAAAAGGAAGGCGAAATTGAGTGAAGATGACAGAAGAACCACGTACGTATAGTTACTTCTGGGGTGGGGCGAGAGGCCTGGCACTGGATACCTCAGCCTTATAGACCTTACCTCATTTGACACAAGTGTGTGATGAATCTGTGATCAATGTACACTAGACAGCCAATCTTGCTTACGTATATTATTATACTACTAGTAGGGGTCGATTTCAAACCCGCCGAGATTTTCGCTCGTGCATAGCTCGACATTCAAGCTTTATGCTTAAAGGGCCCACAGTGAGGTTATGTTGTGGGTTCATTTTAGCGTCTCACGACATAACAAGCTCTGAAATACAAATATATAAAGCTACATGGAGATCAGTGGGGACCAGCCATTATTTTTTGGGGTTGGGTTTGTATACAGTTGTATACATTCTTGTCTTTGTGTCTCTGGCATTGGAAATACAATAACCTCTGTTTGGATTTACTGCAAGATATTGCCGTGCTAGCCACAGATATTTCCTGGCTATTACAAGGATGCAATGCATGAAGATACAGAGCCACGTGCACCATGATGTATGGATAGTTTTGCGATTAGCTAGGACAAGTACCGATTTCCCATCATTCTGGAGCACGGTCTTCACCCCGAGACTATACCACAACACCCAAAAATGAGATTCCCACCAGAAAAACACCAAAAAGAGACGTGCATACATATCAATGCGCGTACACCATATTCTGCATAGGGTATACTGTCTGGTAAGCATACACCTACATCCCGCGCATGCATGCATACAACGTCCACCGCATGTTGGGGTAGCTCTCGGCACGAAAAATACACCTGAAAACACAGTACACGATTCAAGAGACGCCTAAGAGAGCGACATGCAGTAGTGCGGGCAACAGACTAGCGTCAAAGAGTGTACGGGAGTAAGACGAGGGCCCAATTCCCGCAGTATGCACAAGCGCCTCCCACGTCTTCAAAGGCTCCATACCAATCGCCACAAATAGTTTTCATCCGACGATGCACGTCGGAGACAAGGGTGGGTACGACTCATTTCTCAGGCCCAGATCCAAACCGAACCTTGAAAAATTTACCAGCCGCATCGCCCAGACTGTCCGGCCAACAGGGGGTTGACCCGGCGCCAGAATGCACTAGTAAGACCAACGTTCTCTGTATCAGGCCATAGCGCGCCACTCAGGGAAAAAAAAAGTGTAAAAAAGAAAGTATATGTTGTACTTGTGTTTAACTTCTTTCTTTTTTTGTGGTGTTGTCTAGAGCAGACGTAGAACATGCATGGAAAAGGTAGATTCGGGTTGGTCTTAGGGTTTCTGGTTTGGGGGACTACTGAGCGCATCTATGATTTTGAGTTGTAGTATTGGAAATGGAAACAACATCCAAATTAAATTATGCATATATAGTGGCAATAATATAGTATTTTCACATGTCTTCGTATAACATAGGCACGATCGTGGGCATGATCTTCGATAATGTGTCACTTTCTTCTCAAAAGGTAAATTGGTTGGCAGGTCGCCATTATGTTTTTGCTGGACTTCCTTAGATCCCTGTCTCGGGATCCGAATCCCTGCAATAATCAGTCTCATTTATTGGAGGAATTATGCCTGTCTCCTGCCATTTCAAGATTTCAATATCAAGATCATGGCCAACGTCAGTATGTCTTTTAACCGAGGTTTCATCCAAGTTGTACATTTCGGTCTCAACCCTGTTGAAAAATATAAAAAAAACTAGATTTGAACGTGAAAAAGAGACACCTTTGATAAAGAGACCCCTCAAGATATTCTGTGGAATAACAGCTTAATGATCATCATCCGGGGTGTGCTGATCCGCACAGGTCTCTCCAACGCGATCTGCCGAAGCATTAGCGGGCGAGACTTACTGTGTCCGGCGTAGCCTACCAACATATCACTGCACTGGCCAGCGAAGTGTGGAGTTCAGGGAAATTGCGTTTTTTTCTTCCAATCTGCCCTGAGAGCACAGACACCAATTTCTCTGATAGGAACTCGGCAAGTTCGTGGGTCGTTGACTTTAGCCTACTGCATGTACATCTCGCAATTCCTCGACTATCAACCCTAGGATAGAGGGATTGCTCCTTTTTCTCCTTTATCTCTTGTGTTTGAATGTACCCGAGGACTCAGTTAAAGAGTAAATTCGGCTTGGGGGACCAACGCGTACCAACAAAAAAAAGCACAGCAAAACCGGATTCTGGCGTTCTGGGGAAAGAGAATTGACCAAGCCAAGCCTTTTCTCTAATGATCGCCCCCTGAACGATTATTAGAGCTTGGGAAATGACCGGAGAATACCCGTATATTCTACATAGGCTCGACCAGACCCCATGTGGGAACATTTTCCGCCCTCTTTTCTTACCCGTCCATTAGCTCGTTTAACCATATTTAGTTAGAAAATTTGCAAAGTGGATATTATATTGTTCTTACGAATGTTTTATACAGGGTATTTTGATAATATGCAATATGCAATATATAAGAAGTAACATGCAGAAATGGGCCCACGTGCATCAAGTGACACGGATGAACGTCTGCAGGTCCTGCTTTTGGGACAATTGAGACATTTAATTCTGCTGAGTATTCTTCCCTTTTGGTGTCTCTCTCTACAGTCCAAATCAAAACGATAACCCACAACCGCGAAAGGCGCTTTATATTACACTATTATATGAATAAGCCAGAAAAAAAAGAAAAAATCCGGATACTGCCAACTCCAAGAAACGCTTTGGACAAATATCCTACCTTGGAGTTTAGGGAAATGCAACCAGGACATGAAAACTGGGGACAACTGGAGCTTTCAGGATGATCGTCCGAAGTGTTACGGAATACAGGCTAAGGTATTATTGATTGTTGACCTCCGTATGCGTACAGCGCGACTGGATACAGAGCGGCTGCGGCGTCCAATGATTGACGCGCCGTATGAATTTGATATTGATCATCCCGTTCTGCCCTCGATACCGGATATCCCGCACTGGACACTGTGTGTTGTCCGCGCGGAGTCCGTCTGGTCCCACTGTCATATCGTTTGGAGATTGTCGGTGTCGATTGATTTTGGATTTGTCCGTTTGTCCATTGTCCATTGTCGGATTTTGGATTATTATTTATCCCTGATAACAAAGTACCTAGGTCCTGGGTCCTGCGTACTCCGTACTTTTGCAGACAATAGTACATGAGTCGTCAGGCCATGTTGGATGCAAATGATCTTGCGAAGAATAAAACCAGAAATAAACAATAATTATCAAAAATCACCAAGAATCATCCACTTGCTTTTTCCTCACCGGCAGTGGAGGAAGAGGTTCCGCGCCTGCGGGGTGAGATTCGGCCCCCTGAGAACGCCAATCATCAATCAAAGAGAGAGTGTCGGTTTTCCGAGCTGAGAGCCTTGCATCTTGAGCATTTTCTCCCTAGTTTTTCCCGTGTTCTTCCTATCAGACTTGCATTTATCATTTATCCAGAGTGGGGGTTTGATGGTACGGAGTAGACGGTCTTCCCCCACTATCTCTGAATGCGAGGCTGAAAAGAGAATATTAACGAGAATAATAACGAAATAACGGGGTACAGAGTGCAAAGGGAATGTAAATACTGTAAGTATTATACTGTCTTCCACTATGGATTGACCACTGAACATACACTGATCGTACCGGAGAGCCGCCGAATGCTCCGCTCGTAAATTGACGAGTTTCGTGACCAATTGGCGGTGATAATGGGCTCGTTCCACGGAAATCCCGCTAGGAAAATGATGGCCCCCTTTTCTCCTCTTTTCTTCCTTGGTACGGAGATTGGTGTGGTATGTGCTTTTGTACTATAATTATCACATGGATATATGGATCGATAGAAACGGTCAATATCAATTGGCAGATAGAAACATCACAAATCACTCGTACCATGGGATTGGAGATCGAGGTCGCAATAGGAATCGGGACTTCCCGTCTAGAATTGAACCATTTGATCTTGAGCATATATATTCTTTTTCTTGGACAAGTCCAGATGTCAGGAGATTGTTGTAGACTCCGATCACCGGGGGTTGTTGTTGTTATTCCACTGGCTCCACTCACGCGTCTGTAGGTATCGTGACGGTTACGCGACCAGATATTTTTGCCATGACTCAATAAGATTCATTGAAGAACGCGAACCTGACTAGTACGTAGCCTACGATTGATGCGTGTTAGAACATAGCGGTTGTCTATAAGTGGTATAAATATGTACCCGGCCATCGGTATTCAACCTTGGATGTTTAAGCCTCTTTATATACGTTGTACTTTGTATGTGTACATGGACAATGCAGGGCAGTTCTGCGCAGAAGTATATTCTGTACCAAATACCTGTATTCAAAGTGCAACACTGAACCTCCTTTTCAGGAAAAGAAGCTATCACCGGCTTCAACCGCCTCGGCTTTGAACCTTTGCAGTAGACTTTAGCGCTAAACTAAAACAAGTCAGGCCTGCCCACCGAGCTTCTCCAGTCTCCACCAGAACCCCACTACTTTTCTCCTATTGGTGAAATAGGGATCGAGTGCCTGCCTTTAGTCGTCCACACTAGCCCTGGTCTTCCCGAGTCCCATCGCTTCTTCTTCCCCCGACTTGCGCTACTCCCTTTTCTACCCTAGTTCCCTCCCTACAACGGTAAGTGTCCCCCAAGCATCTCCTCCTCTATACCCCTTTTGGACTCGGTTCCATCTCTCGGTTGAGGTTCCTCGGGCACGCCATTCCTAGCGCCCACCTTCTTGGTCAGGCTCAAGCCCTGGCTCCTGACATCTTGGTACCCACGGGCCATATACGCTAGGTTCTCCCTCGACGCACCCGAGTTGCGGGTAGACTAAGAGGCCTCCAGTTGGGAACCTAACCAGTAGTCCTTAGCAAAAGTCAACAACACCTGTATACATCATTTTATGATATTGCATCCATAGTCAATAAAATCTATTAATGATAGAGGAATTTGAGAGAAATAAGTTGCCACTTCTTCCCTGGATGGTTCCGCTTTTTTTTTTTCCTTTCAAAAGGAAAACTGGGAAAAAAAAATATTGTTATCACACGGACATGGAAAGCTTAGCCGGTAAGGAAGACACTGAGGGGAAAGGGGGCCAAGCCAGTTAAATGTCGGAGTATTGTGTGGAAAAAGGGAATGGTCCGAGATCAGAGAAAGTAAATTATTTATTATTTTCCTTTTCATTCTTCCCTGTCTGATATATTCAAATGTTTCCAGGCTTCTCCTCGGAATTTGTCTTTGTATTTATAGTGTACAACATATCCCCTGTCTATATGTGCCTCAATACGGAGAGGAGATACAGGTGAGATTTTTATATTATATATGTATATATTATAAGAAACCAAAAATGACTAAAAGATCACCAAAATCCTGAAAAAAAAAGAAGAAAAAAAAAATCAAAAATCCAAAAAAGAATCAAAACCAAAAAAACATAAAAGCAACATTTGAATGCAGTAATTTTGCCATGACCAACGATATCGCCAACCAAAATTACGTGGTCCACCTAGAGGATCCACAGCATCCTCGGATCCCACGAGGACTGCTTTTCCTTTCTCCTAATCGTCTTACCTTTTAGGCCGCTCTAAGTCGCGTTGACTCCTGACTTTTTCTTTTAGTCTCTAGTTTCTTTAGTATTTCCCGTGGCTATTTTTCCGCCCCGGTGCCTCGTGCTTACCGCCACCTGCAAGGCATCCTCGTCCGAACTAAGATTAAGCATCTAAGCATCTTGGTATCAACCCTCATTCTTTTTTTTTTTTTTTTCTTTCTGAAGCTACGCGCTTTCAACCCAACAATATCTTGAATGTTGTGAATTGATTCTCTTCTATTCTTCTTCTCTTTGCTCTCTCGGATCTCTTATCTCGAAAGCATCTGTGCGCAAACCTGTTTGATCAGCGTTTCGCGACTACTCAACTTCACATATCAATTCCCTAAGAATTGAACGGAAAAAGGTACGTTAACAAAGAACATCCCAGATTTGAAGAGGTCAGCCACGATCCCAACGTGGCAACCTAGTCTCCTGTCCCCTTGCTTGGAACGTGTCGGACCGACTCGTCAATTTCCCCGACTTTTTCCCAAGACTCAATGTTGTGTTGACGCGTCTCTACCACAGATCCAATCCAGAAACTCTTCCTTCATAGATTCGTCGGCATCCTTGCGCGCGAATCCTCTCTTTTATGGACAACCGGCCCGCTTCCGAGTACGCACAGCCAGGTTCGCACCACCCAAACACCGTCACCGACGCATCCTCTGAACAAAAACCTGCAGACCAAAATTCTGCTGCTGCTGCTCACTACACCCCGCAACCCGAGGTCCGCCCTACGCCGCAGTATACACCGCAGCCTGAGGTCCGACCCGCCAATATTTCGTCGGCCAACACCCCTCAGTCAGACTACGGTCTGAACCCTCCGCCGACCGCCCGTTCGCCTGCCTACCAGGACTATCTTCACCGTCCTCCCCAGTCCTACGCCCCCAACTCCCAACCCGGTGGTGCGGCAGGTATGGCTCAAGCAACAAGTCCGTTCATCAACACCTTGCCTACGGGCCCGCGCAGTCCGCACTCAAAGTCTGACGCGCCCGTTCCTATAGATCCCTCGCTTCCGGCCAACAGCCCCACGTATCCTCCTCCCTACTCTCCCTACCAGCCTCAGGGGCATGAGATGGCGCAGTACCAGGGTCACCCCCCTCCGCCTCAGCATATGTACGCGCGTCCGGATTGGCCTCACAGCTATGGACAGCAGCATCATGGATTGCCGGGACCTTACGCTTCCCCGGCCACAACGGTTGGTTCTACCTCTCCTGTCCGTGCACTTGCAGGGCCGCGCACTCCAAAGGTATGTTTTTGATGGTTCCTGGGGGTATGCCTGAAGGCTTTATCACTTTGTTCAATCATTGTTGTCTTGGATGCCTCTGGGGTTGACTATACGGTCCGTAGGCTGCCGTCCTAGGGATCGTCAAAAACAGCGTGCTCTGCCCCTCAACCGCTTCCTTTTTTGGGATATGATTGGGTGATTTTGAATCTATTGGGTTTGATCAAAGCTGATTCACACTCTACTTTACTCTAGGTCTACTCATTTGTCCCAATTCCTGGCGCACAGCAGCATAAGCGTCCTCGTCGTCGTTACGAGGAAATTGAGCGCATGTATAAGTGTGGATGGAACGGATGTGAGAAAGCATATGGTACTCTAAACCATTTGAATGCACACGTGACTATGCAATCGCATGGCGCGAAGCGTACTCCTGAGGGTAGGTTCATGTCAATTTCTTTGCTTTTAGATGTTTGGTGGTCAATGCGACTGAGATCTTGAATCTTTTGTCGCAAATGGCTGGATCGGGTTAGCGCCGGCCGTTGGACGCTAGTGAGTTACACTAGATGTCGCGGGGCCCGCAGTAGCGTGGTCGACGGCGTGGAGGCTAAACTTGCCTCTTATCCCTTTCCGCCGTCCCCTCGCTAGCACGCATTTTCCATGCCATTTCCCATTCTGGCAACTGGCTGTTATTACTCAAGTTCACTGCTGACTTTTCTCTTCTAGAATTCAAGGAAATCCGCAAGGAATGGAAGGCCCGCAAGAAGGAGGAAGAGGCTCAGCGCAAGGCTATTGAGGAGCGTGAGCGTGCTGCCGCCCAGGCTGCCCAGGCCAACCAGGTCGAACCTCCCAATCCCTCCGACCCATCCCACGGACAGCCGCCTGCTTACGCCGGCGGAGTCCGTCCTCAACTCCCTCCGATCGGATACCAGCCCGCGGATAGCCAAGTCCCCAGCCAGTACGGTGGTCCTCCTGGCGGTGGCATGGTCTACCAGAACAATGCACAGATGGCCTACCCTCCCAACTACCCTCACTCTCCCTACCAGAGCGGACCGGTGTACCCGCAACGTGAGTAATGTCGCCGCCTTTTCTCTATACCAGGATCGACCCTCTGGACTTCTCTTTCGACAAGGGCATCCTCGCCCGACCTGTCCGCTGATCCATAAATTCGCTACGGCTTCCAGAGACTCAATCCGCCAACTATCCGCAATAATCTTTCCCACATAATCACCTCTTCCGCTATGGACCTACACGGACGGAAATGCATTTGCTTTTTCTTTCTTATCACGATATCCCCCATCCTTGACTAATGTTCTCGTCCTGGATTCCGATTCCCATTCCCCCAACAACACCACATCCTTCCGCTCCCAAGTCTTTCGTGCTATGATACCAACCTCTGCGACTTTTATTCCTGATCTGTCTAAGAGTGGCTTTTCCAGCTTTGTTCTATACCTGTCATCCTTTTTTTGTGTTAGAGTGCATCGAGCTGAGAGGGTGTGCTATCCTTCTGCACCCTTTCTCTGTTCTGTTTCCTACTTGAAATTTGATGCAGACGTGGTGTATGTCTTATCTTTTTTTGCCCGTTTGCTGGGGTCGTGGCTTCAAGGATGGTTGGGCGGCGGATTTGCATCTGTTTATTATCGACAGCATTCTCCCAAAATCGTTTTCCTGGGGGTTCTTTGTTTTAGTTTTACTTGTTACTCGTTTCCTCTTATCTCTCTTAACTTTGCTACATGCAAGTATGTTCTCTTCTCTCCTCTCTTTTCTCCATTTTCTTTCTATAACGTACATTATGCTCCACGGACTTATGTTCTAATCTGATTATGTGCATTATTTAATTTCCCCTTGTCTTTATCCCTCTAGTGCATTCTCTGCAATCGGCTTAAATGTTGGCTATTATCACTGTGTTACAAATGTAGTGTACTACACACGCGAAATTGTGTATGCAAAGGATGCTGCATTTTTAGTGACATGTAGGCAAGAAAGTAAGAAGTGGAATCTGCCAAATGCAGGTTAGTGTAAATATAGCTAAAGAGAAAAGAAAAAGAAAAGAAAATGCATTGAGGTGTCTTCCTCTCTGCTATGTGCCAGCCTGATGTGAAAATGTCATTAGAAAATACACGGATGGCCGGCGTGAAGAGAATCAAACAGCCCTTATAATTGTAGGAATAGATCAGTTTTGGCAACAAACAACCACGTGGGCATGGAACCATTTTAAGATAAGCCACGCTTAACCAAAATCAGCACTAAGTAGTACCGGCACTTACCGTGGACCGAGCACAATACCATGCATTGGACGCCGTTTGATGTGCGTACGCACTGGCAACTACTGCACAAGGTACATTGACTAGAACCGAATAAGACAAAGCGCAGCACTACATGTGGGCTGTACATCATACTGTACATCATACATAAGGCAGGAAGCTAGTAAAGTAAAGCGTCTCCACGTGTTGGACGTTAGTATCAGCCACCGAGATCATCGTGGGGAGACTGGTGGTAATTTTGTTTTTAGAGTTATTCCTAGTTGTTTCTAGCTTGCTTTCTTTTCTTACCTAGCTGACCTCGTATATGCCACATTGCTTAGTGTCACATTCCTTAGTGCTTAGTCTGTTTCTCTTGTACTCCACTGGTTTGTTCTTAGCTTCGGGCTAGTGTCGTGTGCTACTCTAGGTAGGCTGTGCAGTTCGTACAAAGTATAGCCCGATTGGGCTAGGGAGGACGCTAGCTAGGTTGGATGTAGTGACTGATCTGCATGAGTATACTAGTATGGAGTAGGTAAATGAGACATGTCTACTATGTAGCTAGTTATACAAGGTCTTTGATTTTTTAGATCGTGGGTTGATGTCTGTGTATACTTGGAAGGAATCGTGGGAATACTTGGGCACAATGAAGGATCTGAAACCTGTGGCTTCGGTTAAACATTGAGGATCCAATAATAGAAAATCAATGAGACAGAGAAAGTGATGAAGCGTTTATATGAAGCTTTACATCCTCTTCGATATAAGGTTGATTTAAAGTAGGAAAGTACATCTTCCACGGGTCAGTGCATGGGCTAACTTCACGGGTGTAACGCAGATCAAGGTGCCCCAAGGGAACTAGTAAACTAGTAAAGTACTTAAACGCACAGAAGACCCTGGGAAATGTGCTTTAGCGCTCCCGTCGAGGCCCGCAGGAACATGGGTTGAAGGAATGGGAACTAAACCACTTGCAGTCTAGTTGGACCTCGAACAACCTGAGGTATCAATGAGCGCTGAATGCCTCAGGCAGAAAGTATTACTGCCTGAATATACCGGCATAAAGGCTAGGCCCGATATGAACTAGCGTCCGGACAATCTGCGAAATTGTTTTGCGGTCCATGTCCAACATGCAATGAGGAAATAACAATCTGTTCTTCTTGTTTTTCCATTTTGCCACTTTGCCATTGTTGAATCCGTGTCTCCTTTCTAGCATTGTGCAGGACACAAGCTTAACCTGGAGATCACAGCAATCCGGTCATGACATTCCGGTTTCCGGGGTCGCTCGTGAACAGAGCTTTGCGCAGCCGACTTCTCACCGCGCAGCAATACCGTGCTACTACTGCATCCCAACGACTACCGCAGACTTGGCTCGCATCAAGTAACTACCGCCGTTATAATACCTCCTCCTCCCCCAACCGCTCCTTCGATAAAGATCGCGATGCTCGCCGCATAGGACATGTTGGCGAGAAACATTTTAAGAGTCGGCATGACAATAGGAGGGAGGTCCAGGATGTCAAATCTAGGGAGAACCATGACATGTTGATGGCTATTGCGTCGGGTTCGCTTACCGGGCGGTACAATAGTGAGCTCGAAACTTCTGCAAGTAAGGCTCTGGATCCCGAGGCTGCTGAAAGCGAGGACTTGGAGAACGATCCCTATGATTACCAGGATGGTGAAAGCGAGGCGCAGGAGAACGGTGTCTCTAATGACCAAACATCCAAAGAAGAAGAAGTTGTTGAGGCCGACATTGAGGCCGACATTGAGGCCGATACCGCCGATGGTGAGGCTCCCGAGAGCGACAAATATCGTGGCTCACCTGGAGGAATGCCCAAACTCACACCCAAGATTATCAATGAGGAGTTGAAATGGTTGAATGACCCTCGCAAAATGGCGGATCGGGTCGCGCGCATTTTGCACAGTGGTAATCCGGCCCTGGCGGCGGCCTTGGTTCGTGCTGGAACAAAGCAGGGCTTGAGATGTGATGTTGCCTGGAATCATCTCCTGCAATATTGCATGGATCAAAATCACCCGCAGGCTGCGTTCAAGTTCTACAATGATGTGAGTTTTGTCGTTCTGTGGTGCTGCCATCCAGGGAGTTGCCCGAGATTGAGGTTTGGACTTGTTGCTGACAGACTTTCCCTCGCAGATGAAAAAGCGTGGCAGGAGACCTACTCCTAGAACATATACGATCATGTTGAAGGGCTTCAGCGCAGCCCCGAGGTCATTGGGTGTCGCCAAAACTGCCGCCTCTGTCTACCGCTCGATTGGTTCACCAAACTCTGGAGTCAAGCTTGACATCATTCACACCAACGCTATGCTTACAGTCTGCCATCGTCATTGGGATATGGATCGGCTGTGGAAAATTGCCGGTGAATTACCGGAAGAGGGACCAGGTGCCCCGGATGCGACCACATACACCATTATCTTGAACGCTGTCCAATTCGCAGCTCGCAGAGATATACAGAAAATGTCTCCTGATGAGATTGAAAAGATCCTCGAACGGAAGGCCCAGGTTATTACCGAAGGCAAGCGTATTTGGGCCGATGTCATCTGGCGGTGGAAGAACCAAACCTTGAAAATTGACAATGAACTTGTTAACGGCATGGCCAGCTTGCTTCTGGAAGGCGGTAGTGATATCGACTGTTACAATGTCATGGAATTGTACAAGCAAACCATGGGGGTCCCTATACTGCAAAAGCGACCCATTGAGAACGAGAAGACGACCCGCCGCAGGATCACCCCCGAGCAAACTCAAGCTCTTGAAGTCTCAGAGGCTACGCGGCAATCAAAATTGGAGGATGTTCCGTTCGTAGACGAAAACAATCGACCAATCCAAAGCTTGAAATCGGCCGTGGAAGTTGAGCAAGACTTGATCGAAGAACTCAAAGAAGTGGAGGAGACGGAGAAAGCGGAGGAAGAAGTGGAAGAGGAGGAAGAGGAGGAAGACTTTACAGAACTCTTCAAACCTGTCGTTCCCCAGGCGGAGGAGCTATCATTCCTTCAACCAAACAGCAAGGAACTGACTCTTATCCTGAATGCTTGTTTCACCATGACCCAAGGATCCGAGGGTGGGCAGGCTTACTGGAAACATATGACTTTGGACGACTACGATTACCGCATTGACCCCGATACCTTCACCTACATCCAATATTTCCGCCTCCTCCGCATCTCTCGCTCCAGCAAAATCAGTGTCAAAACCATGCGGGAGCAGATGGTTCCCTCCGGCCAAGCAACCGGAACAGCATTCCACGTCGCTCTCAGTGTCTGCCGCCGTGATCGCCGCAACCACTCAGTCCTCCAACATGCGAACGAGCTGGTCGCTTTGATGGACAAAGCATTGATCCTACCTGACATTCGCGTCCTCGAGGGCTATCTAGAAACGATCCAGATCCTTTCCGCCAACCCATCCGTCCTTCTGCACCTCAGAGGACTCGACACAACCGATGACTCCAAAACCTCCAAAACCACTAAACTGCATGAGATGGGCAGGAAGCTACAAGCGAAGCTGCGACTAGCTGCTATCGCCACATTACGGCCATATATCCTCCAGCTGCACGAGGCAATGGAGAACGGTAAACCCGAGTCGAAGACTCGCTGGAGTGCCATCCAGAACACACTGTCGGATTCTGTCGCTGGTCCGGCGGCCGTGAAGATCATGTCGCGGGTTCGTCTGGTGGTTGACGATACCCTCAAGCTTGATTATAAGGCTTATGTCTCGAAGGCCGAGCGCAAGGCTCTTGACGCTGACTCGAAGATGCTGAAGAAGTATTCTGACAAGGATGTTATTGCGACTTTCAAGAGAAAGAAGGTATACCCGACGATTCAACAGAAGGAGGAGGCCCGGGAACGCATCAAAAAGTTCCAGTGGGAGGCTCGGAATTCTCGGAACCAAGAAGGTTCGGATCAGCAAGAGGACTCTCTCTGATGAGAAACACAGATTGAGGCTTAATCATATTCGTGGTCTTTGACACGACGAGACCGAGGTCTCGATTGTATTATGTTTGTATATCACACATTGGGGGCTATAGATGGCGTTGCATATTTGCATTATGTACATAATACCATTTGGTACATTCTCTACTTCTAACATGAAACAATAATCAAGATTCCAGAGGGCTACTGTGTCGCTGTCAATTGTAAGATCTATCTATGATCCTCATCCTCCGACCCCTATATGCTTCAACTGCCAAGTGATAAGACATTCAAACCTCATCACTATTATCCTGTCATTTCTATCCTCTATTTTAGATAATGAAGATCAATTGAAAGGGGTATAGTATGTAATCATCTGCCAAGTCGGATTGTTAACGAGGATAGTCACGCAATCTGATAGCCGATGATGAAATGCATCCCTATTAACATGCTAGCACTTGTCACCAACACTGATGTTGCGCCTAGAAAAATGGTCCGATAGGTTGTCATGCCGGCATTAGCGCTTGGAGGTTAAATATATCCACAAGATAATGTTGTGATTACTATGGGGATGATGGCGAATGTTTGGTCCACGGCACGCCATATGCGGTTCTAAGAATTCATCCGTCAGGGCTCGGAGGTTTGTCGTTCCCCTCTTTCGAACTGTCGATGGCGCGAGATACGTGTGCGATGGGCGAATTCTGAGTTGGCATGATGCGGGGGGTAGTACATCTAGACAAAGCCGTCCTTCCGAGCGTTTTTGGGTTGAGACATGAGGGGTTGTGTCACTCTTATAGACCTTCGCCGGAACTTTTTTGAACTTGCGCGAGGAAGTCTCAAACGCGAGGGAAGAAAGGAAGCATATTTGACCTTGAAAACAGCAAATCATGGGAGACAGTGCGGCTACTAGCCGGAATGGCTCAGCCGCCGGCACTGGCAAGAAACAAATCTTGCTTAATGCTTTTGACATGTCAACAGTGGGACATCTGTCCCCTGGACAATGGAAGGTTGGTATAGGAACTGAATTTGAAGGGCCAAAACGCTGACAGCTGCACAGAATCCCAAAGACAAGTCTGCGACCAAGCGAACACTCGGGTACTGGATAGAGTTGGCGAAGCTGTTGGAGCGCGGTGGAATCAACGCATTGTTCCTGGCAGATACAACTGGAGGTCATGATACCTACGAGGGCAAACTGGACGAGTGTATTCGGCGTGCAGCACAATGGCCGGTCACCGATCCTACAATCGTGAGTGTCAATAAAACGAAAGTTCCGATCAGAATCTGACTTTCTGCTTAGCCCATTTCGGCAATGGCTGCAGTGACAAAGAACCTGGCGTTTGGCATCACGGCCTCGACTTCATTCGAGCAACCTTTTTTGCTGGCTAAGCGCTTTTCAACCTTGGACCATTTGACCAATGGCCGACTGGGTTGGAACATCGTGACCTCATATAAAAAAGCGGCTTTCAAAGCCATTGGTCTGGATAGTCCAATTGAGCATGACGAACGGTACCGCCAGGCAGATGAGTATTTGAGGGTGCTCTATAAGTGAGTTGCATGCCCACAGCTCGGTTAGGTTGATGCTTTTGAAGACTGACTCGGCGGTTGTTGCGTATAGACTGTGGGAGGGTTCCTGGGCTCCAGATGCCTTGTCGCCCAACCCCGAAGCAGACACGTACATAGACCCGGATAAAGTCCGGCAGATCAACCACAAGGGCAAGTACTTCTCATTGAGCACACGACACATCGTCGACCCGTCTCCGCAGCGGACGCCGTTCCTTTTCCAGGCAGGGACTTCACCTGCAGGATCGGAATTTGCTTCGACACACGCTGAGGCAATCTTTGTCTCTTCCCATTCGCCGGAGGTGTTGCAGCCGAAGATCGCAAATATCCGCAAGTTAGCCGCAGAACGAGGCCGTGATCCACAGTCAATCAAGTTCTTTGGTACATTCACGCCCATTGTAGGCGAGACCGACGAAGAGGCATGGGAGAAGTACGAGGAGCTGAAGAAGTACGCCTCGGTGGTTGGAGGACTGGTTCTTTTCAGCGGGTGGACGGGCATTGACATTTCCAAAATCCCACTGGACCAAGACATCACGGCTTCAGACTCATTGGAGGCAAACAAAGTCACTAGCTTGCTTGACTCATTACTCACAACTAGCAAGGAGATCCCGCGCTGGACGCCTCGCGTAGTTGCTGAGAGGGCTGCAATCGGTGGTCTTGGCCCGGTGGCTATTGGAAGCCCTGCTACTGTTGCCGATGAGATGGAGCGTTGGATCCGAGAAGCTGACCTCGATGGGTTTAATCTTGCCTATGTCACCACGCCTGGCACTTTCGAGGAGGTGGTTGACCTGCTCATCCCCGAACTGAGGCGACGCGGGCTTTATCCTGAGCTTCCAGACCCCTCAGAGCCACCTCTCACGGCCCGTGAGAAAGTCTTTGGCAAGGGACAGAAAGAGCTCAGGTCTGATCATATTGGAAACAAGTACAAGTACGATGTGTATCAGGAGGAGGAGCCTTATGTTGACGGTACCGAGGAAAACTGATTGTCAAATTAATGACATCTGATGATCATTTAATTTACGTAGATAAAAGAACCTTTGCTATGATTCAGAATCAAAAAGCCCATAATATGCATGCAATAAGTGCATCGTAGAAATGAAAGGTGAAACAAAACGTGCCTGGTAACAAAGGTTACCCGTGACCCAGTACGTAATGCCACTCTAGCCTTTCCGGGACAGCTTGGCCAACTCGCTTTCATACTCTTCGATTACCTTGACCTTTCCTGTCGACTTCGCCTCTGAGAGGACTAAAACTAAAGGAAGTGCCATTCTTGCGCTAGTCTTTCGACCATCCCGACCATACCACGCGAACCATGGCTACCGTACACCAAGGCCACCCCCATGATGAGCCCCATGATGACGACTCTCTCCTTGGTGATGATTTGATTGAAGCCGATGATGGTGAGTACTTTTCTTTGTCCCTCTTTACTACCAGCGTATCGGCAAGATCCTAATTCGGTGTAATACTAGCCATCGACGCTGACGACCCCCTGCGCGATACCTCCGACACGGCCCCTCTGCGAGGCAACATCGAATCCAGCTCGAGCAACCGAGGGAATGCCTCTGGCTACGGCAACTACCTAACATCCTCTATCGGTGGTGAAGATCGCCGTGCGACGCAAAATACCATCGACGAGAGTGTTTGGGACACATTATCACGCGACTTGATTGCCGTGTGGGAGAAGATGCGCCAGGTGCTTTGGCCGAAGTACTTGCTTGGAGGAATGATGCAGCGCGGAGGCGCTGGCACCGCTGATTCTGAGCAAGGTGGAGTGTCTGGATTTGGTGGTAACATTCGGGGACTCGTTGGACGATGGCCGGATGCCGACGTGGTCCTGCAGGGTGGCATGAGCGATGGGTTGCGGGACTGGGATCTCTGGTAAGCTACCATACACATCATACATATGGATAAAAACTAACGAAGGGCTTTCTCTAGGGGACCGCTTGTCTTCTGCCTGGTCCTGAGTTTGTTCTTGTCTGTCGCAAAGGGTGAGCAATCGTCAGTGGTTTTCTCGGGTGTTTTCTGTCTTGTCTGGATCGGAGAAGCTGCTGTGACTCTGCAGATCAAGCTCCTTGGTGGCAAGATGTAAGTGTTCTATGAATCATCCCCCAACATCGCAGTTTACTAACATTACGGCCTGTTAGTTCTTTCTTCCAGTCGATTTGCATTATCGGTTATACGCTATTCCCCTTGGTCATTGCCGCAATGCTGAGTGCGTTGGGACTTCCTACTATTGCACGGATACCAGTATATCTTGTGTTAGTCGCATGGTCTTTAGCAGCTGGAGTAAGCATCTTAGGTGGCTCGGGAGTGGTGCGGAACCGAGTCGGCATCGCAGTCTACCCGCTGTTTGTGTTCTACATTGCGATCGGATGTCTCTGTTTCATCAGTTAAGGCTCTCTATTGTGATATTGTGCTCAATAGTTGAGAAAATGCGCCGTCACATGCCTCTGATAGGCATCGGCGCAACGAATCTCAATAACAACATTGGATTGATATTAGAATAGCGCGGATACCGGTATATCCAGACTTTGAATTGAATTCATGCAAACTATATCTGCCGAGGTACCTAGGCAACAATAGACGATTGTTTTATTTAGATGAATATGCTTTGTTCCCATTTCCATTGACGTTTTGCTATTCAGAGAAGCCGTTTGTTGGGCCCCGCACCCGGCGGTCAAGTTATAAGAACCGGCAAGCTAGCTTTTCCTCCTTCTCTCACCTTTTCCACCCTTCCATCCTCTTGTTCTTCTGTTCGCAAAGTTCGCAAAGTTCAACCCTTCCATTCTTTGTCGATTCGGCCGGTCCCAATCGATCTGATCTGTTTATCTGCCGTTATCGTGACCTGTTGAAGCTCCGCTCAACTCAATTTCGACCGGGTATCTGTAGTACCCAATATCTTTGACAAGTGTGTCCTTAGGACGCGACGCCATGGCTTCTGCTTCCCGTGAGCAGGACTCCTCGGCAGGTGGTATGTCATCAGTGCTTGGGCGCAAGCCTCAAATCCCCCACATACTTGGGCAGTTTCGCTGACAACTTCAAAGCTCTGGTAACAGAGCAACTGAAAATGGACCACAGTGGTGCGTTTTAATCTAGTGATCCGTCTTTGTTCTGCCGTGCAGCTTTCCCCTACACCTACAATACCATTTCTGCCGCAGGGCTTTCTCCGAAGTTCATGTGATCTGACAATATCGTCCTGACAGTGACCGCGCAGTCGCCCCCTCCGACAATGACGGCGGCGAACGCCCCGTGCGACAACAGCTCAAGGAGACTAATCTCGACGCTGTGGGCGAAAAAAATGGTCCTGCCCGTGCAAACCGAAAGCGCTCCCTCGACAACACAGATGGGGCAACCGACACACCCCCAACCAAGCGATCCCGAGAGTGCACCCCGGACAATACCGCTTCCACGGAAGACAAGTTCAATGACACCGGAATCCCGAAAGATGCCACTACCCAAGATGTGAGTGACGATGCGCTGGCCGCAGCACCCGCGAACAATTCAGTTCAAAATACACCTCTGTCCCACAACCCGATCATGAGCCACATCCCCGAGACCGCCAAGGTCCAATTTCCCCTGGACCTTGAGATCAAGGTCTCAATTGGTGAATACGAACAAGTTAGCCATTTGACCATTCCCGTGGAGATTGATATCAAGGTGACAGCTGGAGCGGTCTTCTTAGCTTCCTCGACTTCGAGATCCGATGAAGGCGAATCCTCCAAAATACATATCACCATTCCTTCTGCAAAGCCTATTCCCCCATCTGGAAACCCTTCTCCTGGACACCCTTCCCCTGGAAACCCTTCCCCTGGACACCCTTCCCCTGGGCACCCTTCCCCTGGGCAGCATTTATCTGAAGACTACATACACGATGACCCTTCATTCCACACATATGAAGAGCCTGAGTCAATTGGAGATTCTTCATCTGAGGACTCTCTACCTGACTACCGGTCACCTGAATACCCGTCCTCTCCGCCTCCTGTCCCATGCAGTCCAACGCACCCCGATTATCCCACACCCACGGTTGAAGTCCTTGATTCTAACTACTATCAATCCCCACAGAATCTTGAAACGGCGCCCGGCGGAAACGAGGATGATTCTTTACAAATCCTTAAGAAGAAACGGAGCCGAGAACAGCTTGAAGAAGATGTCTCGAAGAATTCCCACGCTGCGACTGACCCCGCGCCCGGCTTGACTGAGACAACTTCAGACGAAAAATCTACTGCCGAAGGACAACCCGAGAAAAAGAGACCCCGCGACAATTCGGAGGAGCGCAAGGCCAAGGTGGACCAGGTGGGTTTGCTGCCTCGACTTCCCTAGCTTTTTTTCTTCCATCTTCTACTAACACTTTCTTCTGACAGACTTTCACCGCGAGTGCATTCGGACAGGCTTCTGCTACTTCACCTTTTGCAATGCCTGCAAATAAACCAGCTTCTCATGCTTCGCCTTTTGCGACCAGTGGTGCCTCCACTACTGGTTTCGGTGCCCTCGGATCTGGCTTCTCTGCCTTTGGCACCGGTTTCTCTGGTACATCTGGTAAACTGACCAGTTTCGCGTCTCCCAATGCTCCCGCCGCTTTTCCTGGAACTGCTGGTAAATTGACCAGTTTCGCATCTGCCAACGCTCCCTCCAGTTTCTCTGGACCGGCTGGTAAACTAACCAGTTTCGCGTCTCCTAATGCCCCCGTTTCCTTTGGCGAGTCCAGTGACAAGACCCTCGGTGCAAAACAATCCGACAACGAAGATAGTGACGACGAACCAGTGGGTGAACCCGATAACACCTTTGTTGCCGAGAAGACCGACGAGCGTTTCCACGCACAAACTGGTATGGACCCCTTGATGCCTCCCCCCACGATCCCGAATATGGCCAGTGACTCATCCCGATGTAAAAAACCAGTTGAAACCGGCGAAGAAAATGAGACCACCGAGTTCACAGCTAAGGGCAAGCTGTACTACTTTGACGACAAGAAATGGAAGGAGCGTGGTACCGGCACCTTCAAGGTTAACCTCAAGACGGAGTCCAACGGAAAGAAATCTGGCCGCATTATCATGCGCGCCGATGGTGCCCTGCGTGTTATGTTGAACAGTGCGGTTTGGCATACTATGCCCTTTGGTGATATCAAGGGTTCTCGCCCGACCACTCGCGATATCTATCTGGCAAGCACGGAAGACGAGAAAGTTGTGAGCCTTCTTCTGCGGGTAAGTAGTCTCTTCCAAATTTTTGCTACTTTTTCGGGTTTGATGATCATAATGCTAATGAATCAACGCAGCTTGGTAACGAAAAGCCAGCCCAGGAGCTGTATGATGTTCTCAAGGACATCTTGGAGCTAATTTAAGTTGAGTTAAACATGACAATACTACATTTTTGTAAATAAAGAAAACCAAAAAACCCAAAAAAAACAGCACCTCTCTTGTAGAGGCTCAGAGTTCTTACTATTGCAGATTATTAGCGATCATCAATACACTTGTGTGAATATTGAGTCTTCTTCCCTTGCCTATATTAGCAGCTCACATTATTATCCACTCAACCTATATGTAGAGGGCCCTGATCTAACCTGCTTTACTCGTTATTTTTACCTCGTTAATGTCCTCTATAATTTCATTTACCCCGATCCCTCGCCGAAGTGATATGCAGGCTATGCAGGCTACAATGCCTGTCGTGATCTAATGGCCATTCCCATTGTTAGGCTGCCCTCGTACTGCAGGACTTCGAAACCGCCGTGCTTAACAACGAGGCCTTGCTTCCTAGTAAAGTCGAGATTCTCAAAATGTTGATACTTTATGATCTACGCAAGTTAATAGAGTCTATCGATCAGAATATCTTCAGCTAGATGCTATTATTCGTAGGAAATACAATATTTAAGCTCTTTTTCTAACGCCTATACCAAAAATTACAAAGTGAAGTTACTCGAAGCCTCTACAGCCGCCGTTCATACGGTGTATTGCCTCGAAATTGGTCAGCATAAGGCCCAGGATAGCAACTCTCCTAACTTAGCCGATGATCTCCAAGAGATTTGTCGACATCTTCCGGATGATGAATATCTGACGCCAATGGTGAAAAGTGCCGCTGAGGTATTGGAGATTATCGGAAATAGAAGAGGAACAGCAGAATAAGTGACTGGCTGAGAGGAGGGTGTATCCATCAGTCAACGAAGATGATAACTATGATCACTGAGATTTGCTATTTCGCACTGGGAATACTGAGCGATGGTGTCCACGGGTTGCTGTTGTTGCTGACATTAAGACCTTGCAGTACCTACAGGATTAGGCACATACATATGTAGCTATACGTCCCATATTTCCTCTGGCCGGGGCTTTCATATCCTAGCTAAAGTTAGCTAATTCCAAATTTATTCTTCCGCAACTTCATGTAGAAAACTCCTTCCAAAGGCCAAAAGCCTACGTTGTAGTGTATTAGGTCCAATAGCAAGTCAACTGGTGAAGAAACTTGTTAAGGAACTTCCACAGATGTTTCCACACGAGCGTTGGTATCGCCAGATGTGGATGGTTCCTTTTATGGCTTTAAGGGGTCGCTGGATCTCAAGCTCAGTGATGGTTTACCAAGAGAGTCCCAAAGGCGCCTGGGTGAAAGGATCTTGGTGTGGCACATGAATTGCCATTTCATCCATCGAGCTTGATTGCGTTTGGCTATTCTTGTTGCCAATCTTGCAAAACCAGCAGGGATCATACATCTAATCTACCGCGGAGAGGAAAAAAAGCTACATTATAACTGTCCACTACGGCTGGGATTGGATTCGATGGCACCACGGTCATATTTTTGTCTTTCAATTCTGTCGCGGCGGTCTCATAACTTGAAATCCCTTTTCTTTCTTCTTCTTAGGTGGGTTTAATGTCTTTGCAGCCCTGACTGCCCACTCGCGTAGGGTGTTTTGACTTTCTTGGCTTTCTTCCGGCAGCGCTTGCGATATTGGTACTGGCGAGGCGGAGCCGTTGCCTAATTTCCCATAGAACAAATCGGACTCTCTTATGGAGTAGTCAACGTTGGGTCTGATAGGCGCTTCCATAAGCTCGTCAAACGAATCCTGGAATGAATTTGATGGATGAGAATCACTGCATAGATTTTCAGCGGGTTCTTCATGCGAGTTATTGAGGGCAGATGATTGGTTTGGTGGATCCTTGTAGTGATGTCGTGGTTGCCTATAGAAGGCAGAGAAATCTGTAATGTGATATCTTTCGTGGGTTGGTGTTGAAGGGAAAGAGCTCGTTGAATTTTCAGAGGTATTGAAAGGCAAACCAGATCTCCTTGAGGATTCTGAACTACCGGAATCGGATAGTCTAGTCAAGTCCCTTTTCTGTCGATTTTCTCCCATCCTATTCAACATAATCCCCATAGTTCGGTTCTCTGGACCAGAAGATGAAGACTGTCACAGCAAGTTAGGTTCCCCACGTGACGGTTGTATGTGATAGAATGACTTACCCTCGTGGTGTTTGACTTGTTTCTTGGGTTGGATAGAGGCATTAGGACAGTCCCAACGTTCCCTCGCAGAGCCTGAGTCAGCTGCCAAAGTGCGAAGACAAGAAAACCGAAAATTATCATAATGCCATGTAAACATAACATTATATAGCCGACCCATTGTTTAGTCGTTTCATTCGATGAACATGCGAAAGTGATAGTCAGGCAAATGGTCAGAAGGCGGACAAAAGCGCACCAAGCAGATATAGACACAAAGAGCCTGCCACGGAGTGTTATGGCCATATGTAGAAGAAGAATGATTTCAGTCCCCATCAGCAGAAGGACTTGCACCAAGCCCCAGTCTTGCAATCCACCAATCACAATTCCTTGTAATAGTGGTATTGCAGCTGGCAGATACTGCGACAGATACTGTCGAGGCTTCATTGAAGATCCGGCTGATCTGGCACCCTGGGAAAAGTCCGGAGACGAGCTATCGTTGAGCTCCTTTTGACGCTGAACATGGCGAGTGATGAGAAAATTCGAAAAAAGAAGAAATGTGATCGACAATCCGACTAGAATGATGCGGTAGTTAGGCAGATATCCAATGAGAATTAACTCGTAGGACAAGTAGGATAGCAGAGGAACACTAGAGAACGACAGGGCCATGCCTATAATAATGCAACCCGCGTTCCATGTGACTGAACTCAGGTGGAAACCCCTATTGAGTCGTGACATTATCAGACACAGGATCAAAGAAATGATAACGACAGCGAAGATGAGAATTGAGAGGTTGATAAATGAATCAATTGTGATATCCGGCATCTGAGGAAAGCCAAGCGTTTGAGACATGTACTCGAGCCCGTAAGACCCATTAGTGACATACATGCCATCGTCCACTCCAGGATATGTAAAACCATGATCGATAGGGCCCATCCAATATAGAAGCGAAGACCAAGCCGCTTGGCTAACTATCGGTTGATAGAATCCAGGGTACTTCAAACTAAGCGAGCCAGCCAGAAAGATGAACTGCAGATACTGTAAATAGCCAGCTAGATCGGAAATAATTTCCCACATTGGGCCCAGAATAGACCAGGTGGCCCTGCTTTCAATCAACGAAACCCATCTCAGTGAGTCATTTGCATGTGTCTTCCATGAAGCGACGCCAACCAGGGCCATCACAACAGCAGGGAGATACGTGAATATCACAGAGGCTGCCGTGCCGATCTCCGGGGTGATCTTAGCTGCCACACAATCAAGCTGGGCGCCATCTTGTGTCCTGAAACTAATCTCTGCAACGACAGTTTGGAGCCGATGGGCATTTCCAAAAGAGTACAAGAACTCATAATTTGAGAAAAGTGTGCCTTCCGGACTAAAGGGTCACTTTAGCTGAGGGGACATAAGAGGTGGATTATTTTTGTCAGATAAATCGGCAACACTTACGGTGTTAGGGTCTCAGTGATCGGTAGAGGGCATTTGCTGTGAAAGCTTTCCATATGCCCAACTGGGATACCGAGCACATGGAAGCGAAAGGAAGTCTCAAGCAACGATAGGTCGAGATCGCTACATGTAAAGTATGTTGTGTTGTGGATCGCCAGTATTGACAATGAGAATATTGTCGGGCTCTCAAATTTACCATGGAGGCTGTCGACTCGGAATGGGGTATCCCATGGGTCACGTAACTCAGACGAATCGCATTGAAACTTGCTAACCCATCCAGCTTCACAGGCTAGGATATTGAGAGTAAAGATGAGGACTAACATCCAAGAACGTGATCTGAGCTGCATGGCGTACTGAGTTTCGGCAGCGCACCAGGTCTAGTAGATAATTCTAGGGGCATGGCACTTTTTCTCAATGGTTGAGATTCCCAGGAGAAGGTTTTCCCGGTTTCCAGAAATCCATTGGCTGGTCTCCATAGGGCTAAGGCCAAGGGCCCAGGGGAGGTCGCCGCTTGGCCGCGCTAAGAGTGCCGAGAGTCACGTGTTATAGGAAAGGCCCTGAACAACAATTTCACAGATGGAAAGTAAAATGAATTTCGAAACTATATCAAATATATCAATACCAAATGGGACTTTGTCTGACTTACACCTCTGATCTAGAGTAGTATTCCAACCTTGGTTTCCACACGCAAGCGGCCCCAACCGCCTGTGGCGATCTCCCTAGGACAAAATTACTGCAGTAGCTTCAATAGCTACGGAGTACAACATACATAGTAGACTCATATCACCCTAGAATGGATTTTTGGATTGAGAATGCTTTAATACATACTCCGTACTCCGTACAATTATGATCATTAGAGCTTGGAAGATGTGAGACATTCACTCAGCCACTCCCCACACCCAACCACTTCCAAAATTCCACCAAGGATGACCTATGTTCTGATCTCAACCCTATATTCGCCCTAGTTTTACAATTTGCCCATCCTTCACAGAATGGCATTCCCACATATAGAGTTATAGAGTATACTCAGCTCCTTTTTGATTGAGATACACATATCACCCTAAATAGCCGAAGAATTCCCAGGATCTGTAACCCAAAAACCCACTTCCGGGTAGATTTAGCCGGTAGCCATCCGTTAGCACGGCCGATCTTTTGAAAAGTGGACTCCTATTGCAGGACTCGAAAAAAGAAAATCAAGGATCTCCATTGTCATACCAATACAGGGGAAGCTGGCATATTGGGGTATAAATAAGAGTAGCCTCTCCTTAGCTTTGCCCAAGTGGGCCGATTGAGATTTTGCATTTCTAACATACGCGATCTCTATACGGGAACTCCTAGGATGTTTGGTCGATCTATCACGGCAGTGCTGGCGATCGCACTTCTCATCAATGGCGGCCAAGCAAGAAAGCCGACTCGCGGCCATTCCACACATTATACCCATCATACTCGTGGATCTGAACCGATCGATACATCAAATTATCGATTTCTAACCAGCAAGACCAAACGTATGCTTTTTTCCCATCCATTTTTTCAATCTCGACTAACAAAAATGTAATTTTCCCACAGCTCATATAGTGGAGAGCCTACCGGATGTTCATTTCGAATTGGGGGAAATGTACTCGGGGTTTATGCCCATCCGTGAAAATGCTTCCTTGTTTTATATATTCCAGCCGAAGATCGGGGAGCCAAGCGACGACCTCACAATTTGGCTGAATGGTGGCCCAGGATGTAGTTCAATGCAGGGGTTTTTACAGGAGAACGGACGCTTTACCTGGCAGCCCGGCACCTACGAACCAGTGATTAATGAGTACTCATGGGTTAATCTAACCAATATGTTATGGTAAGTCATTAGTTAGTGAAATAGTATACATGTACCCAGGTTCTGAGGAGGTAATTGATAAACTGACTGGGGTTTAGGGTCGACCAACCGGTTGGAGTTGGGTTCTCAAACGGCACACCGACTGCTACCGGCGAGGAAGAGATCGCTGTCGATTTCGTCAACTTTTTCAAGGAATTTCAAGAAGCATATGGTATCAAGAACTTTCGAATCTTCCTAAGTGGTGAAAGTTATGCGGGCCGCTACGTGCCCTACATATCCGCTGCCATGCTCGACAAGAATGATACCGAACACTTCAATCTTAGCGGTAAGACCTGAACCTGCATTATATTGGTCGCACATTCTCATCCATACTAGGAGCTCTGATGTATGATGCGTGCATCGGCCAGTGGGATTATATCCAGGCTGCACTCCCCGCTTACCCCTTCGTTCAACAACATGCCGAGCTATTCAACTTCAATCAATCGTTTATGGGGGAGCTGCAAGCTACCTACGAACAATGCGGTTACAAGGAATATTTCGAGGAGTATTTCACTTATCCGGCCTCTGGAATACAGCCCCCCAAACAATTCGACTACTCCGAGTGCGACATCTACAACATGATCTATGATGAAGCTTTTACTCCGAACCCATGCTGGAGTCCTTATAAGATCAGCCAAACATGTCCACTCTTATGGGATGTCCTGGGCTTTCCAACAGACCTTGCCTACCAACCGGGCCCTGCAACCTATTTCAACCGCACAGATGTTAAGAAGGCTCTGCATGTTCCTGAGGATATCGACTGGGAGCTCTGTAGCGTTGAGAGTGTCTTTGTGGGCACCGACCCAGGACCCGAGCAACAATACGACGAGTCTGCGAATCCTACAGAGCATGTCCTGCCGCGGCTGATTGAGGCGACTAATCGGGTTTTGATCTCGAACGGAGACTGGGACTATCTCATTATCACGAATGGAACGTTGCTGGCGATCCAGAACATGACCTGGCATGGCGAGCTAGGCTTCCAGACTCGTCCTACCACTCCCATTCATATCAACATGCCTGACTTGCAATACGCTGCGGTCTTTGATGCCCAAGAGGGATATGGCAATTTCGATGGCCCACAGGGGATGATGGGGGTTCAACACTATGAACGTGGTCTGATGTTTGCGGAAACCTTCCAGGCAGGTCACCGACAGCCCCAGGATCAAGGCCGAGTGTCCTATCGTCATGTCCAGTGGTTGTTGGGTGATGATGATCATCTTTGATGCCCTTCTCCAGCTCGTTATAAGACAGAATCTGGTGCTGGGGTGTAAACCAAGCCACTGCGGCGCGTTGAGGTCACAGTGGGCGGTTGCGTGGATGTAGAGGTCACAGTGAGTGACAGAAAAACTGGCAGATGGGGGGCCGAAAATGTGTCGCTTACGGCCAATTCTGGCCGTCTTTCTGCCATCATCTAGTTTAAATTAGTATATATCCATGGATCAAGTCTTCTAGCATTTCTAGGGATTGATGAAAGCATAAGATCACTTTAGGAAAGAGGGCTGCGGCCGTTGGATATCGTTCAGATATGCTATATGCTCATTCGTTCGATATAGGAACGTCCCTCTTCACCTTCCTCTTCTCCTGCTCCTTCTCTCCGCTTTTCCCTCCGCTCTCCTCCTTGTCCGCCCCTTCCCTTTTTCCCTCTCACCCACTCCCTTATATTTTAATTAGCCAAACGCCGTCATTAGTCATGTTTTTGCTGGTGGGTTAGTTACCTAGCTCCCTAAAGTCTTCTGTAACTATTTTAAGTATAATCTTCGCTGAATGATGTCGTAAACAAGTTTTGGCTTCTGGATGAATTAAGTCTCCCCTACATATATGGCCTTCCAACTTCGCGTTCAAGAGACCTATCGTCGTCACTACCCACTATAACCTCTCTCGTGCGCCATATACCAGACTGGCTATTGCTGCTCTGGGCATCACACTATTGCTGTTTTATATCCTGGAGGGGCAATTCCGTCGCGGATAGTGCCCGCTTAGAGCCAGGTTGTCTGGAATTGTATGAGGGCTTGAAGCCGGAGCCCGTTCCACTTCGTGAGGTGACTTCGCCAGAAGAGCCAGTGGTAGACTTGAATACTTTGCGGAATAAGGGGCGGAGTGTCGGGATACAAGCGGCTACAATGACAACGTTTTGCTCAATCCTAAGCTGGAGGTTAGCGCATTTGGTAACCAGGCGTGGGTAGTACTTACAGTCACCAAAGCACCAATGGCACCACCTTGAAAACTGCCAGATGTTAGCTGCTAGGCTAAATAACAAACTGAGGGCAGTACACTAACGAGGATCAGTGTGGTCGGTGAATAGGTTCAAATATGTTGCTTTAACAATCGTGACAATCGCGGAAAGCAGTGTCAATCCCATCATAATGCAAACACTCAGTCTTGTCGAAAATGGCATTTGCAGTTTCCAAAATGCAGAAATTGGTACAATTGCCAAAATAATATCCGTCACAGTTGTATATGCGCTGACCAAATAGGAGAAGCCATCAAAAATATCCGAACTCCAACATGTGCCCTCAATGGAAGTGTTCCACATTTTTGCCGTGGGTTTGCATTGAAAAAAGACAATGAAAACGGATATCATAGCCAATATAACCTGGAAAATGACCATGGCGTACAAGAGTCCTGCACGAAGTGGGTTGGGGTCAAGCAGATGAACGATCAGGATGGCAATCGAGATGTTGGGGAAGCTAAAAGCTCCTACGTATTGGCCTCGGTTTTAGTACCTGATTTGCTCCATTGGATGGGTAAGACACACCGATGTTGAAAGGAAATGCAATAATCTGCCAGTAGGCTGTTTGTTCATATCTCTTAATGCCATATTCAGCAATTACAGTTGCAGTGTGCCGGCCTAGACCAAGAGTGACCGAATATGAAACGAGTGCCGTGGCAATGATACTGAGAGCCTAAATAACAACGTTCACAATGTTAGTCATACCAAGGAAGCCATTTGGAGGGTTTTCCTTACCAGCGACAAGAAAATAAAAAAATCGTCCCAGCCAAACCGTTTGCTATCAATTCGGGCGAATAGCTTCAAGGAAACCGCTGCGATTGCAACCCCGGTGAAGACCCATCCAATGGCATTGATTTCCGCCGCTCGGCTCTCACTATGATCAACATCTGTGTCGAAGGAGGCCATGGTCAAGGGTTTTAATCCATATTATACATTTGATACATAGGACTCGATCGAGGATGATCATCAAACAGGGAATTTTTAGAACAAAAGGCAATTAGAAACAATTTTTCCCGGCAAACTCCTTCAATTAAACTAATTAGAAAGAACCGATGGATAACTCGATGTATGCCTCTGTATATTGTAGTACTAGCCAGTGTGGGTGTATCGACTAGGTATTCCATAACCGCGGATGATTCCCGAGGTCGATCGTAGCTTGTTCATGTCTTAAACATCCATGCACAATATATGGACCCATGGGCAATGGTGACCAGTCAAATAAAGATAGGAAGGCGAACTTTTAGGAAAGAATAATCACTTCGAATGTTTCGAGTTTACTTATTAACAAGCCACTACTCCGTAGACAAGATTACAATGCCACGAATTTATATTTTGATTTTACCCATCACTGTCGATAATCCAGAAACAGCAGTTAAGGTAATGTGGGCATTTGTTCTCTAAATACTCTATATAACCCTGGAAGATACGGAGTACTCCGTACTCCGTACAGATATGTAGTTACTCCGTGGCTATTACAAGTGGAGTCGTTATTGAGGCTACTCCACAGCGGGTTGAGGCGCCGGGTGACCGTGGGCACCCCCTTTTATCTTGGATTATTATATACATAGCCGGAAAAAATCTTTGATATGTGTTGTTATATTAGAGAAATGGTGGATAAACCTACAACTTTGGAAGTAATTTACTGTGGACGAAAAGACACAAAGATGCGAGGTTTTAAGCACTTTAGGCACGGCTCAACTGTTTGCCCCATACAGAGTACGGAGTACGTGGATCGTGGATCATTTTTCCTAATTTACATGTGAAACCTGTCCCGCTTAGCGAGTTAACCGATCGGCTCATAGCGTTCTTAGCTCGTCTCTTAGCTCATGTTCGGATTACATGGGATGAGAGGAACTTTCAGGCTCCCAGACTAACGTGCATGATTCAGTCAATCCCATTATACTCGGTAAAGAGTCTCGACAGGAGTAATTGGCTCCCAACCTACTCTCCGGCATCTATGTTGTAGTGATGTGAGAATGGCCTGTTATCACCTTAGCTCAACTCCAAACGAATGCCCGCCCTCTTAATACTTTCTAGCAACGCTAAGGTAAGTCTAAAACTTGGTTGGTTAAAGGCCGCACTTAAGAGGGCCCACGGGAGAATGAGAAATTCCTCCGTGTCATTAACCACGTACTCCGTACTAGCCCCAGGCTAAGCCTGAGAAAACAGAACAGGAATGGCGAGGGGGAGGGGCGAGTAATCCTCTAACACGCTTTCTCTTTAAAAGACAGTTGACACCCTCCGTACTTAGGAATCAATTGGCACCATCTCAACGCCAAATATCATCATGACTTCCCCATCTGTCTCCACAATTCTGGATGGAATTGCCAGTTCACGCGAGGCATTCGACAAGAACGAAGCCGGCTCAAGAGAAGCTCTGATTGACCAAAGCCGCGCGCTGATTGCAGCATTGGAAATCCCAAGCGAGTTCGTCCAGCGCACCTTCTGGGCAGAGGTGAGAAAATGTAACATTGTTGAGCTTATCTCGCTCACAATGCTAATTGGAGTTTTACGATAGCCAGCTCAAAGCGCCATTATCCGTCTCGCCGTCGATGTCAAGCTTTTCCAATGCCTCAAGGATGCAGGAGATGCGGGACTCACTCCGTCAGCATTTTCCGAGAAGGCTCAGGTCGACAGTACACTCCTGCAACGCCTAACGAGACATCTGGTGGCAATGAACCTTGTGTCATTCCACAACGGAGCGTTCTACGCCACGAAGCTGAGTAACGGTCTCGCAGCAGAGAACTATCAACACAGCATCAGTTTCTGTTATGATGTGGCGCGCCCTTCATTTAACGGATTCCCGGAATATTTTAAGAAGTCCGAATATAATTCCCCGACTCTGGGTGGAACTGACGGCCCGTTTCAAGAGGCGCACAAAACAGACCTCCCGTTCTTTGAATGGCTTGTTGCGACACCACCGCACCTCCAGCATTTCGACTCCTTCATGAGCGCGTACCGCGCGGGTAAGCCAAACTGGCATGAGTTCTACCCCGTGGCCGAGAGATTAACCACGGGCTTCGATGCTTCTATTAGCGATGTTCTCCTCATCGACGTTGGTGGCGGAAAGGGTCACGATGTGGCTACCTTTGCTGCGCATTATAGTCCTTGCTCGGGTAGAATTGTGCTCCAGGATCGAGAGCCTGTCATCGCAGGTGTTGTAGCTGATGGCATAGAGCGAGCTTTCGAAGCACAAGCTCACGACTTTTTTACGCCGCAGCCTATCAAGGGTGCACGCGCATACTCTCTTCATTCTATTCTCCACGATTGGAGCGATGAAGATGGCGTCAAGATCCTGCAGAATCTTGTGCCTGCTTTAAAGAAGGGTTATTCACGTGTCCTGTTCAACGAGATCGTGATTAACGAAGAAAAACCTACACTCGCAGCGACTAATATGGATATGATGATGTTGGCGCATTTTGCCGTGAGAGAAAGAACGGAGGCTGATTGGAGAGATATCCTGGCGCAAGCTGGATTGAAGGTGGTCAATATCTACACCTATCCGGGCGTTGCAGAGAGTTTAATTGAGGCAGAGCTGGCCTGAGGGCGGATTTGCATGAGCTTTTTTAAAGATTTTTGGACCATACAGACTAATATTATCAAAATACGTCAAGGATAAATTGGACATACTACTTGGTTATACATACAAAAGTCCTACGTCCTTGCCTAGGTAGGGACAGAGGCCGCATACGTGCATAATGTATGTGATATATCCACTGATAATTCACCACACTAATCATTCAACGTCAAACTCCTCACTCGAACACGTCCTCGAACAACGCAATATGGCATCCCCATCTGCACCAAGGCTAGCCCGCCGAGAAGATTACACATTCATATGCCATGGGGGTAATATAATCCTGAAATACATGACCTGCAACTTTAATAAGGTGGAATACGTTGGCCGAGCGCGTTGTATTGGCTGCGAGTTTACAACGGAGGATGGATACCTCGTACGCGTTCGAAGCATTCTGAATCCGAAGGCCCTTGACACTAATTATTTACAGATGAAAGTCGAAGCAGAAAGACCCGTAGAGAAATTTCGTAAGGATATGAAGAAAGAGTTGTTGTGGGAGATGAGCCAGAAAGCAGCTGCAACCCGGCGGCGGCAGCGGGAATTGGAAGGATTGCACCGCTAGCTGTAGGGATTGGGAAGTTGTGCCGTACATAATAAGAAAGATTGCCCCAACTGAGATCTGCCGATTAATGAAGAATGTTACGGGAATTCAGGATAGTAAAAACGCAGATAATCCCTGAACACAATATGACTAGATGACTAGCACTATGATTTAGGTGCCGACAGTCCCACGATTAATCTGCTTGCGATAATAACCCCGACTCTGCCAATGTCTTCAATGTACATAGTGAGATAACCCATTAAACAGGGAGTTCAAGGTGATATACGGAGTATGTACGGAGTAGAGAGAAGATATATGGAGACCCCACTGAGCATTGACCTTGGAACCTTGGAACGACCAATTTTAGGTGATATTGATGCACGTGACCTCGCGTTTCCCGTCAACCAGGACTTTTATCGACTTCAACTCCAACATAGAGCACTATGGAGCTTCGACATGGCGAGCTCCTTGTCAATACCACCACAAGCCTCATTATTGAAACGGAAACGAAGTCATGGAGGCGATCGCGGTCTCGAGTCCAATGTGCCTCCACCCTTGAACGCGTCGCCCCAAGACCTTGCCGATCAAACACCATCGACTACAGCCGATCCTCCCCTAAATGAATCCGATGTACAGATAGGTGGATCTCTCAAAACTACAGCCGCGAAAAAAACAGGCAAAGGGAAGAAAGCTACCTCAAAGCCGCCGAAGCCCTCGAAGCGAGCTCCATCTGCGCCATTGCCAGATGCCTTTAAGCGTCTCTCGCAAACCCATCGCGCCTTGAATCTGGTTTATACATTTTGCTGCACGCGAAAGCACTTTGCCACCACATTTGACAACATAAAAAAGGCAGTACAAGCTCAACTTGGTCAAGGCCGAGAACTCACTGTTGAAGATGTTGCGCGTGTGAAAGTCATAGTTCCCGGAGCGGTCCGATTCGAATATGTGGACGAGGCCAAGTTGGAAGTTATGACTGCTGGAGATGAAGAGATATCTCAGTATGGCTTACACAAGCGACCTAGTCTGACATTTGCGGCAGACGTGGACACAGCCGAAGACGCTAGAAGTGACGATCTTCACTGTGCAGACGACGCAAAGCAAGTTCTGCTATTTGAATTTGTGGACGGCGACCTGAAGCGGGAAGTACTGAACCCGAAGACTGGGGAACCTATGAAACCTATGCGTCGCACGAAAGACGAGGATCTGAAAATGCCCGTCTACAGTCAAAAGCAGATGCTGGGTTTGATAGAAAAACGAAATGCCAAGTTCTCAGACGCTTTGAATGCGTTTTTGGTTCAATGCGAGGACAAAAATACCGATCCAGTGGATTCTCTTGAGCAAGAGAAGAATGCTTTCCTGCCCATCCCTCCAAGCAGCGGGACAAATACCCCTCTTGCGGCGCAGCCGCCAGCAACGATTCCCAAGGAGCGAAAGTCAATCGAAGAAATCATTGCAGAGATCCGGGAGATGGATTGGTATCATGCACAGATTGTACCAGAAGGCCATCGAGTCTTCGAAGCCCAGTCTCCATGCTACGGAGATTTGACATTCCAGCTCTCGCAGGACCTTGTAAATGCTCTGTATAACACCAAAGGAATCACCCAAATGTATGCTCATCAAACAGAGGCGATTAACCACCTGTACGAGGGCCATAATGTGATTGTGTCGACGTCGACGAGCTCGGGGAAATCCCTTATCTATCAAGTCCCCATGCTGCACGAGCTAGAAAAAGACCCAGAGAGCAGGGGGATGTATATCTTCCCCACTAAAGCTTTGGCACAGGACCAGCGCCGCAGCATGATGGATCTACTTCAGTATATGAATGGGCTGCAACACACAATGGTCGAAACCTTCGACGGGGACTCGCCGATGGGGAGCCGAAACTTGATTCGTGACGAGGCGCGGATCATTTTCACCAATCCCGACATGCTTCATATTACAATTCTGCCACAGGAGAGTTCCTGGCGCACCTTTTTGAAGAATCTGAAGTTCGTCGTTGTTGACGAACTGCACGTCTACAACGGCCTGTTTGGGTCTCATGTCGCTTTTATCATGCGCCGTCTTCGCAGAATATGTGCTGCGGTGGGTAATCGGCATGTCAAGTTCATATCTTGCTCTGCTACTGTTGCAAACCCGGAGGATCACATGAAGTCTGTCTTTGGGGTGCAGGATGTCAAACTCGTCGATTTCGATGGATCTCCCTCTGGTCGTAAGGAGTTTGTTTGCTGGAATACGCCATTCAAAGACCCCAAAGATCCTACATCTGGGCGCGCTGACACTGTCACTGAGACTGCGAGGCTGTTTTGCCAGCTGATTCTTAGAGGCGTGAGAGTCATTGCCTTCTGCCGAATCAGGAAGCTATGTGAGGTTCTCTTACAAGGCGTGCGTGCCGAGTTTGATAGACTCGAACGAACAGAGATCGGTAAGCTAGTGATGGGCTACAGAGGCGGGTATAGCCCTCAAGACCGACGCCAAATCGAAAAGGAAATGTTTGAGGGAAAATTAATGGGAATCGTGGCTACCAACGCTCTGGAACTGGGCGTTGATATTGGCTCCCTGGATGCAGTCATCACCATGGGGTTCCCCTACTCGATCTCCAATCTACGCCAACAAAGCGGCCGCGCTGGACGACGGAATAAGGACTCCCTATCCGTCCTAGTCGGGGACAGATACCCAACCGACCAACACTACATGCAGAATCCAGATGAAATATTCACACGGCCGAATTGCGAGCTGCAGATCGATCTATCCAACGAGCTCATCCTCGAAGGCCACGTCCAATGTGCCGCGTTTGAGATGCCTATCCGCCCTGAAGAAGACAGCATCTACTTCGGGCAGCAGCTCCTTGCCCTGGCCCCAACCCGTCTAATAAAAGATCCACTCGGCTTCTACCACTGCCACCCACGCTTCCGCCCGCAGCCCTCCCGCACCGTCTCAATCCGTGACACAGAAGACCAACACTTCGCCGTCATAGACACAACCAACAACCGCAACATAGTCCTCGAAGAAGTAGAAGCCTCGCGCGCCTTCTTCACAATCTACGAAGGCGGGATCTTCCTCCACCAAGGCACAACCTACCTCGTCAAAGAACTGAACACGGAATCCTTCCTAGCGCGGGTCGTCCGCGTCCATGTCGACTGGAACACCATGCAACGCGACTTCACCGACATCGACCCCATAGAAACTGAAGCAATGCGGCTAGTCGGCAACGACCCCTCCGCCTCGCGCGCCTTCTTCGGCGCAATCCAAATCCACGCCGTAGTCTACGGCTTTTTCAAAGTCGACAAACGCGGCCGCGTCCTCGACGCCGTCGCCGTCGATAACCCACCAATCGACCGTCTTACCAGGGGCATGTGGCTGGATGTCCCAACGCGCGCTATCGAAATCCTACAATCGCACCGGCTAAACGTAGCCGCGGCCATCCACGCCGCTGAACACGCCGTCCTCTCCCTCCTGCCATCCTTCGTCGTCTCCTCGCCCGGTGACGTCCGCACAGAATGCAAAGTCGCGAAGAAAGAGCTTGGCCGGCCGCTGCGCCGCGCGAACATACCCAGTGAATTCGAGGAGAAGCTTAAACCGCCTTCGCGGCAGAGACCTGCTCGGCTTACCTTCTACGATGCGAAGGGTGGGTCTTGTGGTTCTGGGATTGCTAGTAAGGCGTTTGAGTTTATTGGGTTGCTTCTTCGGCGGGCGGTTGCGCGCATCGATGCTTGTTCTTGTCTTTCGCCGCAGGGCTGTGTGGAGTGTGTTTGTGATGAGCGATGTAAGGAGATGAATGTGGTTATGAGTAAGGCTGGCGCTGGGGTTATACTGCGGTGTTTGCTGGGGTGGGAGGTTGATGTTGATGCCCTGCCGTGGGGGGAGGATGTGGAGGGGAATGAATTTGGAGTCGGAGGTGCTGGAGAGTTGGCTGGTGGGTTGGAGACTGTTGTGAGGGCCGAGGAGGTGCCGTGGAAGGCTGGGTGTCGGGTTGATTGTTGAGAGATACTATATGCAGTATGGATCGTTATCAAGTTGTGCCCATTCCTGACATTAGGCATCCAGGTGAAACCCTGTGCACCTACGGGATGGGCCAAGCAACAATCTATAACACCCGCTGAACCTCAGTTGCGGGTCTGTAACTCTTGGAAGAGCTCTTGGATGACTTGGTCATATTTGTAGAAGTTGAGTGATTCGGCGCTTGCTGCTCCGCTCATCTAATAAAAGTAAAGAGCCCTTGGAAGGTTGGACGTATAAATAAGGTATAATGAACGGGATCAGTCAATGATCCTATAGTAAGCTGGGTATAATAAATGTACATCAAGTCATGACCGAGAAAGACGTTTTTGAGGTTCAAGGGAAAGGGGAAAATAGTGTGACAAGGTAGAAAGGGCGAGGAAGGATGTGTATATGTGACAATGATGGGGAGAGGTTGAATGAGACATTA